AGCAGGGCTTGTGGGTGGGTGGGTGGGTGGGGGGAGGGAGGGACAGAGCTCCCAGCCTCCAACTTGGTGTAATGTAACAGCAGAACAACATCAGGTGATTGATTTGTTGCTAGCCACTAGCTGATAGAGCTACAGTCCCCTGGGATGCAGCACAAGTAAGAAAAGAGATGGGTATGTGGGTAGGGAGTATGGGACAAGCAAAGGGCTGCCAGCCAGGACTTGTTTTGCTTGGCTCTGCCACTGATCCCCCTGCTTCTTTTTGCGTGTCAGTCCCACCTCTTGTTCCTCAGTTTCCCCATCCTTATCTGGCCCATGGGGAATGGCCCCTTCTGAACAGAGGTGCTCCAAGTCCCTGTAATGCTGTAGCTTAGGTTTAGGTTTGGCTGTGGGCTAGGGAGTAGGACAGAAATACCCCCTCCCCACTTTGCTATGTTGCATATCTAATGGCAGCAAGCAGACTTCACAGCCTGTTTGCCAGAGTTCCTTTGGACTCTGCTCCACCTCTCACATGTTCAAGGGGTCCAGTGTCAGGCCCCAGGAAGACCTACTGAGCCCAGTGTGTATTTACAGCTGAGATCCTCCTGAGGGAGGGCAGGTGGGAGTCTTGGCCATGGAAAGTGTGAGGAGCATAACCCAGCAGCAGCTGGTTGCACAGTCCTTCATGGGAGCTTTGGAAGGTCCTTTCAACTGTTCTTTCCTTCCAGTGCTTAGATTCCCATGGCCAGTGGCAGTAAGTTCCTGCCCTATCATAGGCAACTCTGTGCAAGGTCTGTGCTCCCCAGTAGGTAACATTGGAGGGGATGGCAGCTTTGCTACTAGGGCAGGGACTGCAGGGAAACGATCATGCTGGTGCACAAAGGGGTCTGCCAGCTTTCTGTTGCCTCTACTACAAGCACTTCTTTTTGTCCTGAGTAGAGCAGCATTGGAGCTGAGCTGCAGGACCTGAGCTGGCACCTGCTCAAGTTCATAGCACATCTTGGTCGGATCTCGGTGCTGCTAGGTGGAATCTCCTGGCTGCTCCATCTTGCATTTCCAAGGATAGATGGAAATTAAGTTGATGCCTCATGAAGAAGAGGCAGGGGGAGTGAGCAAGAGCCTGAAGACAGATGGGCGGTGACGCCAAAGCCGGGTGCCAAGGGCAGTAGAACTGGAGAGGAATAAGTGGAGCTGAGCAGAGCTTTCCAGTCCAGCCCTGTGCTGGAAATGTCACTTTCAATCTCATCACCGTGGCCTGGATTTTTCCATTTCCCCTCTCGCAGCCTGATTAGCATCCTGCAAGGTAGACCCAACACCCTGTCATGGTTTGGCAGGGATCACTGGTGAATGTGGGGACTGATAGCTTCTAGGATGGAGGAGCTGAATAAATCTTGTGCAGCCCCACATGGGGAGGGGGATAGGGGAGCAAAGAATGGATTTGTGGGGCGCTTGCTGGGTTTTGCTGGTGCTTACACGGTTTGGTTTAGTTCCTGAGGTGCCCTGTGTGACTCTTGGGATGCCTCCTTGTCCACTTGGTTAACATTTGGCTCATGCCTCAAGAAGACCATTCATATCCTACAAGGAATAAGTATATAATACAGCAGTGGGTGTCCTCAATGGCCACACCCACTGCTGAACCCACCCTTGCTTTTTGCTGCTTTGTGACCGTGTGTTTCCTCAGGTGAATTGTGTCCTGTACCAATAAGCAGTCCTTTACTACTTCAGTTAGAGCTGCTGTCTGTTCATCTCAGCTGCTTATCCTTGCATTGTACCAGCATAGTTCCCCTTTGCTTCCCTTTGTGCAATCAGGAAGTGCTGTTTTACTGGTGGGGAGCCTGAGGCCCTGAGCCAAATGACTTCCCTGTGGTTGCACAGGGAGTATGTTGCAGAACTAAACCAGAGTCTTCTGGGCCAGAACTGAGTGCACCTCTTCCAAGCATGGGCTTCACTGAATGCCCTGGCTACAGGGCTTGCATGGGGGAGTGCCTAGCTCCCAATACAGGTAGTTACCTTTTGCCTCCCTGGATTCTCTTGCCTCTTTCACTTCTTGTCCTAAATCCCATTGTTTTTTGAGACTGGTATGTCTTACTGGCTTCACCCCTTGGGTGGTGGCATGTTGGAAGCAGGTAGAGCAACCCCTGGTGGGTAGAAGTGGTAGGCCCTAACTGCACAGAACGACTGGGGCAGAATACCAATGCTCCTTCTCTTCCTTGCAGTTCTCTGCTCTGAGCGGGTCAGCAGGATCACAAAAACCTACCATGATATCGATGCAGTGACTAGCCTGCTGGATGAGGTATGTAGAGCTGCTCCCCTCCTTCACTTTCCCCTGCAAGTGAGGGCAGGTGGCACCTGGTGCCTGGGTTTCTCAGAAATCTGGTGGGAAGCTCCTGGTTTGGAGCTGGGGTGCTCCCTGGCTGTGAGGGTAGTTTGGGGGGGTGAGGGTAGAGGTCAGGCTGGTGATGATTAGGGGTGGATGGTGGGGAGGGGAAGCGGGCAGGCTGGGTGGCAAGGAAAAGAGGGTAAGGCATAGGTGCTAGTTGGCCTAACCCAGTCAGCTGCAGACTGCGTCCCCACTACAGAAAGAGCGGGACCTGGAGCTGGCTGCACGCATTGGGCAGTCTCTGCTGAAGCATAACCAGAGCCTGACAGAGCGCAATGAGCTCTTGGAGGAGCAGCTGGATGTGGCCAAAGAGGAGGTAAAGGGGAAGCGGTTTACTCTGTCCTTGTTCCTGAGCCCATCCCATGTCCCAGCCCCCAGCAGAAGGAAAGAGCCAGCTGAGCCTGTTCTCCCTGGGCTACCAAGCCACTTACCTCTGCAGAGCTCTGTCCCTGGGGCCCATCCCTCCTAGGCTGTTTGGAGGTCTAGGCCCCAGGTAGAACTGCACAAAGATGTACTAAATCCTATGTCCTCCCCTGGCATCCACGGGGTTGAGGTCTGGCTGGGGCCCTGGCCCAGCTGGGGTGGCTTGCATTTCTGGTGTCCCATCCTTTGCCTTGCCCACCTGGTGCCCCGTGACCCCCCACACCCCTGAGGAGCCCTGTTTTCTCCCAGATTGCTCAGCTGCGGCATGAGGTCTCTATGCGGGATGACCTGCTCCACATCTACACTGATACCACAGAGGAGAGTGAGCCTGTCTCAGTCGCATCCATGCCGTGAGTGACTCAGATTGGGGGTGGGGCAAGGGATGGATACAGAAGGGGTGACCCTTTAGCACACTCAATGAGGTCTGTTGTGTTTTACACAAAGGAACTTTCAGCTTCTGCCAATGCTGCATCTTATTAAGGCCAGAGCTGGGGAACCCAATTTCCCTATAAGCTCTCTGCCCTGGAGTTCACTTAGCCAGGGTTGATGCCCTTTCATGGGAGATAGCAAATAGGACCAATGTTGTGCTGTCCCCGCTAATGACTGCAGGCTGGTGCAGGATGGGGTAGAGGTCTGTTTCACTTCCTTGCCTGGCCTGCTGTCCTGGTCCATCTTTGCCAGCTGTGGCTGTGTGGATGGTGCCTGCTAGGAGCCATGCCTGGCTAGGGGCTCTGGGTTCTAGAGGTGTAGATGTCTCCTCCCTGCCAGAGCCATGGGGTGCCTTGGCACAGGGCTGGACTGGGTGGCTGCTCCCTGTTCCTGTTCCAGTTGCTATATGCTGTGACTGCTCAAAGACTCTCTGCCCCCAACCCAGGCTGCCCCGCAGGGAGTCTTCACTGTCTCTGCAGCAGTATTTCCAGTATGACACCCTGCAGCAGAAGCTCAAGGTCTTGGAGGAGGAGAACCAGAAGCTGCGGTTGGAGGTAAGTGGGGTGTGCCTGTGGGGTGGGGTAGGGGCTCCGTGCCAAACTGTTGCAACCTACTGCAAGAAAAGCTCAGTGCCCTGGGGTGGAGCTAGTGCCTTAGAACTGGCTACACTCCTAGCCCTTCAGGCTGCCCTTGTTTTTACCCTTTGGAGTTGTACAGAAGTGTGTGTCTGAGACCTCTAAGGCTAGACAGGAGCAGGGGGCTTGACTCGGTACTACACTGTTACCCTCCCCTTGCACAGCCCATGCTCACAGTCTGTCCTGCTCAATCTTTGTCTCTTCCCTTCTCTCCCAGGCCACCAACATTGCCACAGAAACCTGTCATTATGAGGACCAGGAGCAGCAGCTGATGATTGATTGTGTGGAGCAGTTCTGTATGTTGGCTTCCCTTGCCTTGGTCCTGTTGGGACAGGTTGTCTGTAGGGACTTAGGGTGGCTTCCACACAAATGGTCCCCAACCCTGGCTAGAAACGGGAGACTGGGCTGTGCATATCATACGGGGGTTGTGGGGAGAGGGGAGCATACCTTTCCATGGGTCTCTGCTGGCCCCTATTTCTGTAGTAGTCACTAACCCCATTCTGTCCTCTTGGCAGCTGAAGCCAGCCGGCAGGTGGCATTCCTCTCTGAGGAGCTGGCCCGCAAGGTGGAGGACACTGCCCGACAGCAGGAAGAGATCAGCCAGCTCCTGGCTCAGGTGGTGGATCTCCAGCAGAAGTGCCGTGTGGTGAGTGCCAGGACTAGGATGCTCCCTGGACCTGGACCTGGCCTGCTGTGAGCACAACCCCCTTCCTGCTTCCTGGATCCCATCCTCTGTGGGTTTTGGAGGTGGCCTCCCAGGCTGCCTGGTCAAAGTACTAGGAGTGGGGCCTGGGTGTGCAGGAGGGGGTGGTGTTGCAGCTAGTTGTCCAGAGGAAGATGGCTATGGACATGCCTCCTGATTAGCCTGTGTTCATTCCCCAGCATGGTACAGAGATGGAGGAGCTGCAGCAGCATCTGGCCACAGCAAAGGAGATTCAGCAGCAGCTCCGTACTGAGGTGAGACCCTGATCAGGGGACGGTAGGGAGAATGGTAGGGCTGCCGTGGTTCTACTGCCTTACCTATCTTGTGTTGTCAGGGTTGAGGGTAGTCGTATACAGGGTTTAGATCAGGGGTGGGTAAAATTTGGCCCATGGGCTGGATTTGGCCTATGTTGGGTCCCTTGACAGTGCCTGGGCCAGGCAGGACCTAGCCTGTAGTGTGGGCATAGGGTGCCTGGGCATGTGGTGGGGCTGGGGCAGCTCTGCAGTTAGACTGTCTTGCTCTGGGCTTGCCTGCCCACCACGGGGAGGGAGAGGGGGTGTTGTGTGGAAAAGTAGCCCCTCCCCTTTGCTGCCAGCCCTTCTTGCTGCAGCTGCCCAGAGCCTGTGGCCGGGCTGCTTTGCAGCTCCTCTGCACTGCCACTACTGCCTTGCTGAGTGACCTGGAGGCAGTGGCAACAGCAGCAGAGAGGAGCTGCAGGGCAGCCCAGGCCTGGACTGCAGGTGGCTGCAGCAACAAGGGCTGGCAACAGTGAGGGGGAGGGGAGGGGACACCATGCGCATGTGGCTCCAAGCTGTTGTGGGGGTGAGGGGTGCTGACCAACCTGTGGCAGCTCCCTAGGACTGGCTTTGTGGCTCATGGGCCCTTGCCTGCCCCTGGTTTCGACTTATGGTTGTATGGAGTGGTTTGGATCGGGGTGAACCCTGCCTTAGGCAGGGGGTTGGACTCTAGATGACCTCTGGAAGTCCGTTTCAGCCCTGCTTCTCTATGAAATGATGGGTTTCTCTTGTGCGTGACCCTCACCAGCTACTAATTTTTTTTTATTTTATTTTATTTATTTATTTTTTTTAAATTCGTAAGTCTTTGAACCTTAGCCTTCAGCTCAAGCCATGACCCATGGATATCAGGAGCCCCTTCTGGGATGTCTGTAGTAATAGGTTGGGGAGGTAGCTGCTATGATGCAGAAAGCAAGTGAAGCCCACTTGTGCTCTGCAGTTGCAGGACCTGCAGGAGAAATACATGGAGTGCGGTGGGATGCTGCATGAAGCTCAGGAGGAGATCAAGAGCCTGCGCAACCGCAGCATGCCCAACAGCACCATCAACCGCTACAGTTCATGCAGCCTGCTGCCGATGGTGAGCCCTGTCAGCTGTGGGAGGGGCAGGCTGGACTCTCTCTGGACATATCCTGGGGGTGGGGGCTCACACCTGGCATGCTGTTTTCCCAACACCTGAGTATTGAAGCTGCCTATGGGATACACCTGCTCCTGGCACAGGAAAGTTGCTGTAATGAGGTGGATGCGGTACCATATGCATGGAGGAGTGGCTGAGGCTCTTGTGTTCTTTAGAGTTCATGCCAGGGTGGCACTGGCACAGGCCTGTCCTGCTGCAGGGGATGTATAAGCCCTGGCACAGTGAGTCATGCTTGTCCCAAACTCCAGGGGATGGCGCTCATTGGATGCCTTTTTGCCCAGTGGTGTTGATGGTTCTGGGCAGCACCCATGACATCTCCCTCCTGCCACCCCCATGGAAAGGCCATGTCCTCTCTGTCTTCCAGGACTCACTGGCAGCAGAGATCAAGGGAACGATGAGGAAAGGCAATGACAGTTCATCCTCTTCGGAGTACAAGTGAGTCCTTGCCCCTTTCCTGTAGTGCTGGGTCAGTGGTGGTGGCAGTGGGTTCATGCTCTGTTGGGAAACGGCTAATCTCTGGGGCTTCAATAGTCATGAGCTGTAGTACTTAAGGGACCTGTAGCCTCTGTGGCAGGGAAGAGGGTCCCAAGCCACATGACCAGGGAGTGCCCAAGTGCTGGGGGGGTGGAGGGTGGAACTCTGCCCTGGGTAAGGGTGGGCTCTGTGGGGCAGGGAGGAAGGGTGTGGGTTTTTTTTTTTGTTTTTGTGTGTGGTGGTGTTGGGGTTTTTTTTTTCCTCTTGGTGTTTTTGGAGGAGTGGGCAGAGGGGACCCACTGTTAGTTAACCTACTGACTGGCACAGTTCTGACCCTTTCCAGGAGTTACCTGCGGGTGTTTGAGACTGTGAAGGCCGCGAACCAGGTGTTCAAAGCCAAGTCGCGCTCTGAGTCCCCTCCGAACCTGTCTGGCTCCAAGCAGTCCTCTGTTGCCCCCTCGATGGGGTGCAGCCGGGTCAGCACCCCTCGCACCAGCTGCTATGGTTCAGACAGTGCCAGCCTGGGGCCAGAGGAGCGGGGCCTGGTGCTGGAGAACATGGAGAGTGGACAGTGAGTGCCTATCCCCTGCCCATGGGAGCTAGGAGGGTGTGGTGCAGGTTGGGGGCAGCTTGCTTCATGGACCAGGGTCATAGGGGTTGGTTAAGGCTTCTGCTAATAGCCTGAGACAGGGTGGGGACCAGCTTGGGTAAACCCAGTCCTCATGGCAGGCTTGGGTCCTCTAGTTATACTTGAGCCTGTGTGGAGACGTGTTCCTGGGGCTGTTTATGTAGGGCCTCCTTGTTTATCCACAGTGGCTGGGGCCTTAACTCATGCATAGTATATCAGTCACAGGACTAGAGAATGGTGGCCCTGAATACTGGGGTGGTGGCAGGGTTTGGGGTCCAGCCTGTTTGGCTCTGTGGTGCTTCCCAGCGGGTGGGGGGTGGTGTTGTGGTACAGATGGTCTGAGATCTGACACTTCACTGCAGAGCCAGGATTGGACATGGTGAGGGGCAGTAATCTGGTTTCCTTTTTTAAACTGAACTTTCTCTCCTCTCCTAAGCCAGCTGAGGGTCTTGCACTTACTTGGGGCTTTGGGACCTGGCCCTAGGCAGTTGGACCAGGGTGCCATGAGGAGCTCTTACAGGGCTATTGGACTGAATTTGGGGAACTCGCTGTAACTGAGCATCTGTTTCCCCATGGCAGAGGTGAAGGGGGTGAGGAGAAGCGCCGGGGTATGCCAGGCACCCCAGGTAGGCATGACCTGGAGGCAGCCCTGCAGCGCCTGTCAGCACGCCAAGAAAACCACACTTCAGAGTGCTCCTTCTTTGAGATGGAGCGGGAGCGCAAACTGAAGAGGCTGAAAGAAGCGGAGAGTTCCAGCGGCTTCCTCACCCCCAATGAGAGCGTCCTGTCCACTGGCACCAACTACTCGGGCAGCTCAGAGCACACTGGGGGCTCTGGCTTCTCCCTGGGCTCCCTGTCCTACCTGCCTGACAAACTGCAGATAGTTAAGCCCTTGGAAGGTGAGTAAGGAGGAGCTGTGGCACCCAGCAGTCCTCTGGTGCCCTGACTTAAGACGCGGTGCCCCCAGGGTGTGTGTTGGTGGGTGTTGCACAGATAAGTCCAGAAGCCCTACTAGCACTATGGGCCTAATAAGAGCAGGTGCTTGTCCCAACAGGTATGAAATCCCAGCAGCCCAAAAGAAACGGTGGCTTCAACACCTGGGTGCCTGAAGGCTTAAGTAGTGTTGGTTGTAGCCATGTTGGTCTAAGGACAAGGCTCTGTGGGTAAATCTGATATCTTTTCTTAGACCAACTAAAATAGCTGGGAAAAATTCTTTACAAGCTTTTGGGTACCAACATCCTTTAGGCAGAGGGGGAGCTTCTGAAGAAGTATGCTTGTACCCAAAAGCTTGCAAAAAATAACTCCCATCCCCCTCCCAACCATTTTAGTTGGTCTAATCAAAGATACCAGATTTACCTAAAGAGCCTTGTCTGAAGGCTTAAGCTGTCCCTCCCCACACACCCAGCTGCCACCTGTGCTGTGCATGATGCTGCCCTCTGGTGGTCAGATTATGCAGGACCATATGGGAGCCCTTGAAGCAGTTAGGGGTGGCTGCAACATTTTTCGGCAGAATGCAAAAAAAAAAAGACCTGCAACCTCAGCTTGTAAGATGTTGGCATGGTGGGGGAGTCATGAGGGGCCCTATCCTTGTTGTAGCAGTGCAGCCCTGACCATCCATCTCAAGGCGTGCATGCCAAACTGCCTTCATGTGCCACATACTGGCATGCATGTTAGCGGGTTGCCTACTTCTGGACTAGTCCCTTGTGCCCTGGACTTGTTCTCTGTCTGTCCATAGGGACCTTGGATGGGGCAGAGCCTGCATCTGTTTCTGGTTCTGTAGGACATTTCCCCAGGCAACATGAGAGGGGGGCTCTGGCTCTCGCAGGGTACGTTTGTAGGGTGTGGGAGACCTGTGCGCCTAGCATCTGTCCATCTGAAGGCCTTCTATAGTTGCATACAATAGAACAGCAGCGTTGGAAGGGGCCTCAAGTGGCCTGCTCTCACTGAGATCATCCCAGTCTAAACACAAATCCACTGTGTGTTGGAGAATCTCCATCCTCTCCAAAAGAGCAGGTTAAACCATCTTTTTAGGTGACTTTTTTGTTCTAGTGTTTAACTGTCCTCAGAGTTGTTTTTTCCTGATACCCAACTTAAGTCTTGAATTTCAGCAAGGGAAAACTGAATTGCTTGTTATGCCATCCATCTCTTAACCATACTTCAGTTATTCAAAGCCTATTCCCTTTACTCCCCGGTCGTCTCTTCTCCAGGCAAAATCCCAGTTCTTCCAGCCTTTCTCTGCATATCACTTCTATAGACCCTCCCCTCCCAATTGCTTGTGCTGCTCTTTGTTGGACTCTTTCCAATTTCACAGCCTGTCCTGAATTGTGGTACCCAAACCTGAGTATTGTGCTCCAGGTGATGCCTTGCCAATGCCCAGAGTGGAAGAATTGCTTCCTGTGACTTGCAGGCAATTGGTTATTAAATATATCTTGGTATGGTATTGGTGCTTTTTGCAATGATACTACACTGACTCATTTAGTGGCTTTTTTCAGTGATCTTCTGTAGCCCCATGTCCTTCTCTGCAGTATGGCAGTAAGGTCAGTTGTTCCCTGGTCTGTATTTATGTAACTGATCATAATGCCCTGAGTGCTGGACTTGGTGCTTCTCTTTTAATGAATTGCATCAGATAACTTCTAATCATGCCCCCAGTTTATAGAGGTCACTTTGAATCCAAATTCAGTCTGCTGACATGCCTGCTGCCCCATCCAACATTGGGCTGTATGTTCCTAGGCTCTGTGACACTGCATCACTGGCAGGAGCTGGCCAAGCCGAATCTGGGTGGGATTCTGGACCCCCGCCCTGGTGTGCTCACCAAACACTTCCAGCAGCTGGATGTAGACCTGGAGGAGGTCTACAACCTCAATGACCTCGAGGAGGATGATGTGGACTTGGGCTCCTTCCAGGCACTTGCTACCTCAACACCTTCTAGAGCCAAGGAACACTCGAGCTGTGAGTACAGGTTGGGGGCTGAGGGCCATGGGCTGGAGATGTCCTTGGCCTGTTGGGACCTGAAGCTGGGAGTAGAGCCCTGCCCAGGCTGGTGCCATGCAGCTGACTGCAGTGGGCCAGGTGCTTCCAGATTTGCTTTGTCTTCCCCTCTCCCCTACTGTGTGTCTGTCCATCTCTTGTCTGTGTCTGTCCTCTTGGTCAACCTGCATATGGATGTTGTCTGTCTGGTTATCCAGGCTCAAGTAGTAGCTGAAACAGGCCTCTCCCCAAGTCGTCATCTGTCCCCTGTCCCCTGCCCCCTGCCAAAAAACAAACAAACAAAAAAAAAAAAAAGCTTCTCATTACCATCCTACCTTCCTCCTAGCTCCTTTCCGATCTCCCAGGGCAAATGCTAGCCCCAACTTGACACGATGTGCCAGGAGCATGTACAATCCAATTGACTCTGTCTAGTTTAGTCAGACAAAGGATCCTGGCTGAGTGGTGGCCCTAGTCTGTATCCTGCCTCTACATGCCTACTCAGAGCTGTCCAGTCTTCTGAGCTCTGGAGAACCAGGTAGCATCTTTCCTGCCCCAGCTAGCAGCTAGGCCTAGAATGCATCTTGTTCCTGGGTCATGAAGAGCCTAGCCGTGACCTCTGCTCCCAAGTGGACAGGACCTGTCCTTCCTGAGGGCACTTCCTTATGGTGCTCAGATCTGACATCCTGTGAGCAGGACTGTGAGAGTCAACTTGCCCCCACTCTCTCTTCCTCCAGTTCTAGTCTCTCCTCCAGTGTTCAGTGAGGCTACCCTGGGCACATGTCAGTCTGTCAGGGTGGCTGTCCTATCCTTCCCATGCATTGACCCCGTGTTTCCTGTCTGTTCCAGTGTTCCATTCTGTTAACAACCTCCCCCAGACCCAGTCTACATACACCATCACCACCTGCCACATCCTACACCCCAGCAATGAGATCACCTCTGTCACGCCCAGGTAAGGCATGTGGTCACATCCAGCATCTGACCCTTCCATCCTCACCTCCATTACAAAAGGACAGTGATCTCATCTCTAACTTATTATCTTTTCTCCTCCCTGTGGTGCCTCTTCCTTTGGCACCTCGTTCTAGGCAGAAGCAGTCGTGGTGCAGGTCCCTCCTGCAGCCCCTGACGCTCTGAGAGGTGCTTGGTGCTAATGTAAGAGTCCCCGACACTTGCTGGTAGAGCTGGGAGCGGTAACCCCACTGACACTCAGCTTGCCTGGGGAATCGCTCAAGCTGGCTAGGTCCTCCTGCTTTCAAGGGGGATAAGCAGACACCTGTTGTGCCCTCAGCATCTTAGGACCTTGCTGAGCAGAGTAGGGGTAGGGGTTGGGGTGTGGTCAGACACTGTGGGAGTTTCCATGCATAGCAGCAGTTCTTGGCTAGCTGTCTTTCCCAGCTAGAGTAGCCCTAGGGCATGAGCCCTCACTGTTTTAGCGCATGGATTATGAGCCTGGGTGGAGGAGTCTAGCTGGCTTTAGGGAGGAAATTGCTTCAGTTTAGTTCTTCCCTATCTCCTGTTCTTGTGGAAAGAAGAACTTGGAAGTAACCTTCCCCCTTCCTCATCAAAAAAACAACTACGGGTGTTCTAATGAGATGCAAGAAGCTCCCATGTTTGCCCTTTCCATGCAGAGGAACCCTGCAGGCTGTGATGTGTGAGTGGGGTTACCTCTACACTAGAAGGCAAAGGCTGGACTAGGCTGTCCTTCTGTTGGTTTGATCAGCTCCAGCCCAGTTGCCTGGTTGCCTCCTTCCTGCTTGAGCCTGGCTTGGGTCCAGACTGTGTTCAGAGGGTGCTGGAGCTGGCAAATGATGTTTTCCAGCATGCAAATTTAGTGTGAGGAACTAATGAGCCAGAGTGACTTTTTATGCTGCTGGGCTAATGAGCCTGTCCCAACCTGAGCATGGCATTGGGGTGAGACTTAAGTTAGCAGTTGGTTTGGGGGCCAGAGGATATCTGCAGATACCAGATGCTGAATGCTGCCATGAAGGCTTATGAACCAGAGCTCCAGGAGTGAGACCTCCAGTATACACTGAAACAGCAGCCCACGTCCAGGTTCTGATCATGTATATCATGCCCCTCTGCCATGTGTATTGGAGGGGAAGCAGCTGGGGTCCAGCCTTTGCCTCTGGAGAGCACCAATTAAACCACTAACCAGGTAGCTGCCTCTGACACTGGTTGTATCATTAACTCACCCCTCCCTTTTCTCTCTAGGCCCAAAGAGACTAATGCTGCTGGTATTGGCTTGCAGGGTTGCTCCTGCCTTGAAGGGGTGGCCCAGACTTGGGTGGTGGACACTTGATGTCTGTCATGTGGGACTGAAGCAGCTTGTTGGGGTGGGGAAGTGTTTTGCTAAATGGCAGCATTTAAGGAAACAAGATCATGGGACCCTGGATTGAAGAATATTTTTAGCCTCTTGTGAGGGAGGGGGTAGTGGGAGGGCATGAATGGAGTGAAGAGACTTCTTGAACAGAGACCAGGCTCTCTGTCGCTTTCCCTTGATACAACAAATGCTGAAAGTGGCTGCCAGGGTAAGGCTGTCCTTCCCTGGCTTTCCCTAGTCAAGGTGACACTGGCTGCTTCAGATAAGGGCTGGCTTCAGTGTCTGGTCCTTAGCACTGCTGACAGTTGGGGTCTGAGGTGCATTCAGTAGGGTGGCCAGGGTCTGTAGCTGTTCTGGGAACGTGATGTGCTTAAGTCCTGAGAGCAAATGGATACCAAGTTTTGTGGAGTAGATCCCAGCTCTGGGCTCCTAGGGTCAGCTCAGGTGATTAGGTGGGACAGTGGGGAACCTTACAAGGGGCAGTGCCTAGCTGAAGGTTTCTCTCTCCAGCAAGCTCTTTGACTGGGGCCTATGACCAATGCCTCATGTTTATGGCCTGGACTGACTTGTGCTCTTTCTTTCTCTCCAGTCTTTATAATACAGTGGTATCCTCTTGTGGGCCCATTGAGAGGCTGATTGCTGCCAGCCCTGTTCCCCAGTGCCACCCATTGGAACAGTCTCCCCATGCGCTGGAACGCATCCCTCAGGTGCTGGGTGCCCCCCTTGGACTAGTGACCCTCCTCCTGGAGCATGGCATTTCTGCCACTGTGCAGTCTGGGGAAACCCAGCCAGTCTGCCAGGCACCAGAGACCTCTTCTTGGCTGCCCCCCTCCTTGGCTCCTCTGAGACTGCAACGAGACAGCCTTCACAGCAGGTCTCTCCATGGCTTTGGTTTGGCCCAGCCCTGCCTGAGCACCGCTGAGATGGATGATGGTAGGGCCTCTGGGCTGAGTGGATGCCAAAGCAGGAGCAACATCTTCAGTCTGAACCTGGTGGAGAAGCTGAAGAGGCTTGGGTTGGACAAAGTTGTGGCTAGAGGTGAGGCCTCCTACTGGCAAGGGGCTGAGAGAAAGCAGCCTGCAAAGACTCTGACTGCCACAGCCCCGCAGTAAGCTGGTTCATTGACTTTGCCTCCATCTGCTGCTGCAGGGAGCTTATGAGCTTCAGGGCTGGACATTATCCTATAGGGAGCATTGTGACTTCTGCCTGTCACAGCCACTGCTTCCCTTTGGTCTCCTATGACTAGCCAGAACCCTTTGAAAAGCAAATAGGAGCTGCACATGTGGTATGTGTAGTGAGACGGGGCATAATGGGGAGGTTAATGTCTTGGCTGGCCTCATGGGAATGGCCTGTCCCACCATTATCCATGTCTCGAGGCAGGCACAGGTCTTGCAGGTAGGCGTAAGGCTGTTGCTGCTGGTCTCTTGCATTGCTGACTCAAGCACATTTAAATGCTGCAAGGTTGGTATAATGGGCATCTAAGGTTTTTGCCTGGAGGGTGCATTCCTCCACGGTAAAGGTGCAGGTCTCCTGTGTGCGTTATCAGAAGATGGGTGATGCTGGAAAAAGTTTCTCTCCTTGTCTGAAGCTAGGCTCTCAGCTCTAGAGCAGAGAGCCAGACCTGGGGCCTTTTGAGCCACCCCACCCTCACTTTAGCAGGGGTACCGGTGCCCTCTGCCAACATGAGTAAACACAGCATGCACTCTGCCCATAATTGGGTCCTGGGGATATTGCTGCTGGTGCTACAGTCCCAGCTCAGGGAAAGCAGATCATTGTACCCTTCCTCTGTTACTCCCAGGACCCTTTTAAGGGAGCTGGTGCCCTGTTACCATGTGGTTGTAATGCAGTGTGTTCTGGTAGAGTTGACCAGTTTGTGCCTGCCTGCTGGGCAGGGAAGGAATAGGGGAGCTATAGTATTTGTGCCCTAAAGGAGTAAGCCAAGCCCTTGCTATATTAACACTCACCTCCTCTGAGCACCAAACCCTTAGGAATCCAGGGCCGGATTAGGCTGCCCTTGTGCTGCCCAGCACTAGAGTAGAGCAGACCAGCTCACTTCTGCCACTTGTGGTGCTGGCAGCTCTGCTGGCTGTGCCAACCACATTCTCAGCTCGTTGATCATAAAGGCCAGATCCTGCTCTTGCCCAAGTCAAGGGAGGCATTGACTACTGAGCAGACTCCCAGCCTGAATGAGAAATGGACCAGGTATTTTTTCCAGTCATGAACAGTGGCATAACTGCCTGAGAACCCATCCTCTGTTGCTTGCTCAGGCAGCTGGCCCCAGACTGCTGGCCCAGCCTGTTTATCTTCAGGTCCCCTTCTCTCCTGCAGTAGGGTGACTTCAAGAATGACTTATCTCCTCACTGTCCCTCCTGTGCTAGTTTAACCAAGTTTTTTTAATGATAAGGAAGTCCCTGCCAAAGCGCTTCTGCACCATGTCTGTCACCGGGCTCAGGGCAGGACTCTACTTGAATCTGTGTGGTGTGTAGTTTTTTTCTTTCCTCCCTCCTTCTGCCTAGCATAGGGCAAGCCTGGGCTGTACAGACAGACCCTGCTGTCAGGATTTTTTTTTTTAATGCCATTTAAAAAAAAAACAAAAAAAACTCTTCGCTGCCACTCAGTTATAGGACTGAGTGCCCTTCTGGGGTGGAGGGGGGCTGCATGCAGCTGGGGGGCTCAGCTCTAGCACTTGTGTGGGTGTGTCTGAGTACTTGTTGCTTGCACAGTTGCAACCAAAGTTGTGCTCCTCTTTTTGGATGAGCATGTGCACCATAGGCCATGTTACTCCCCACCTTCCCTCTTCCTTTGCAGTATCCTCTTCTTGTGGAATAAATATGGTATAATGCAAATTGCCTCTAGTCTGATGCTTTTTTGAGGTGAGGGATGGCTTTACAGGCTGTGGGGTACTGTCAAGGCTACAGGTTTGCTTGGCTTTTTGGGGCTGGGGGGGGAAGAGAACAGCCTGAGCATCTTGCCAGTGGGGCTTACTGAACCTCCTGACTGCCAGGGTTGCTGGGTGGCTGTGGTTCCTCCTGGTAAAGGTTGCCCAGATGCTATTGGTGAGGCAGGGATGTAGGAGCCAGCTTGTTCTGCTGCTGTTCATGTTCCACATAATTCCTTTCATGAGTCAGGAGTACCTTCTCTCTTCTGCAAAATGTAGCAGAAGGCCCAGATCAGAATATGTGCTGACCTTAATCTTTAAAAGCCCAGGCTAGAGAGTGGCTTTACCCTACAGACAAGAATGGGGGGAAAAAAACTTCAAGTCCAGAGAGGTCCTGGGATAGGAGAGGATCAGCCTAGGTCCAGGACACAATCAAGGTTGATAAAGCACTGGCTCTGGGCTCACTATATGGGTAAGCACAGATTGAGGGCTCTGATCTGCCCAAAGGTTAGGCCTGACTAGAAATAGAGATCAGATGCGCTCCTCTGCCCTGAAGTATGGATGTCTGCCTATGCTGCAGTTCAGTTTGACGGCAGATGATGCTGGCTGCTGGGCCTTGGATGAGACTTGATGTCAGGGAGAAGTTGTATATTTGTCATGATGCCAGCTTAGACCTGAGCTGATCCTCTTCCCCTTAAGGATGGCATCTACCTGCACTTGGGACAAATAGCCTATCACATAACCCGCAGGCAGTGCATCTACATGAGATGTTTAATTAGCTCTCCAGTAAGGTCTCTACAGCTACATGTATGGGCTGTATTAGGCTACAGGAAACTAATTAACTCTGCAGTAGGTTAGTACTTCTAAATACAAGTACTATCCTGCAGTGGTATTCTTTTAATGTGCAGCAATATGCATGTAGATGCTGGTAGGGCTGGTTGGGGCACAAGGGTGTTTCTGTGTGGGGACCACTTGCTGGCTAGCCCTGCACTGGAGTGCCTTTGTTTTCCCCAGCCAGCTCCCTGCAGCACATTGAGCTGGGTTGGAGCAGCCCTGGGCTGGCAGGCTTGCTCCCAGGGCCCCTGCCAGCCAGGGCTGTTTCAGTTCAGCTCAATAGGCAGTGGTCCTGGGCTCACATGGAGATCAATGCTAAGAGCTGGTGTTTATTGCTTTGCATTAATTTGATATAGGGAACAGCATATATCTACTGCAAGCCTAGCTTTGACATTTGACTCCCTCTCCCCACAATCTCAGGAAGGTTCTCGTCCTGCAGCCATGGCAGATTTGATCTCAACTGCCTGCAGTAGCAGGCTGAAAACCTGACTTGAAGCTATAAATGACTTTAGAGAATCAAGGGATTACCCACATAAAAACCATGAGACTCAGTTTTACCTTAGATGATTTCCCCTGCTAGGGAAGTCTGTCCCTCCTGTGCCCAGGTTGAATCTGACCACAGATGATACTAGGGAGGTGCTCTCTCTACTAATGCAAACTATGATGTAACTCAGAAGATGCTTTGAAAAGGGGTTTTTATCTACCTTGAAGCTAGACCTTACCAAGGAAGGTCTTTAGGTGTGCTGAACCTAGGGTTGACTTCACACACCCTTTCCCAAGAGAAGGCAGTACCTTGGCCATGGGCAAGCTTTGGCTTCAGGTGCTCTTCAGGGAAGGTATGTATGCTGGACAGAGGACAGCTTTGACCATGGATGATCTCAACAGATGGCAGTGCAGTGGCCTGGGTCTAGATCCCCACAAGGGAAGCACTCAGCTTGCATCAAGGCCCCGTTTAACCTTAGTTAGCTGTGAGGAAGGTATTATACCTGTCCTGAGGTTAGTGTAGAGCTCGGATAATCCCAGGGGCTGGTTCCAGTTTTCACAGAGGGCAGATATAACCTTGGGTAACTCAAGTGTAAGGCAAATTTAACCACAGCTCACCTGCTGAGGAGAGTTTGCAGGCTAGCCAGAGGGTAGCTTTGGCTGCAGATGACCAAAGTAGAGAGCAGATGACCTCCCCTGCCCCAACCCACCGTGGGTAGAATTGTCCTGAAGGCTGTGTACCTGCCATGGGGCTCCATTTGCCTTCAGGTGCTTTCCCCCCCAGAGTAGGGTATCAGACTGAATAGAAGCTAGATTTGACCTCAGATCACCCATGGAAGGCTCTCAGCTCACACCAAAGGCAGATTTTACATTAGGGGCTCCTATACATGCTCAGGGAGCCTGCTCTGACATGCTGTAATTCCAGTGTGTCGGAGCAGACTCGATTAATCAAGTCTGCTGGATCCTGAAAACTAATGTGCTCTAGCAGCCTCCAGCATCATGTGTATCAGCATCTCCACGCTGACAAATGGCAGTGGGGCACTTTGAACTAAAACTGGTCAAATGAGCTTTAGTTTAATGTGCCCCGCTGTCATTTTTAAGTGGGGCATATTTTAAGTTGCTGATAGACATGATGCTCTGAGTGTTTTTAATTAGTGTGGCTCTTGGAGGTGTGGTAATTAAAGTGTCCCCCTGCCAATCCTCTTGGAGCACATGTATAAATGCCCCAGGTTTCCACCCCTGCCTTAGGCCCTAAATCTAAACCTAGATTTGATCTCAAATGCCTTCCCCAGGAAAGGGTCTTAACCCATATGGAGAACACATAGGAACTCAGTTGCTCCCTGGGGATGGCAGTATGCCAGCCAGGGAGTGAGATATGATCTCAGTTGCCCCACAGGGCCTGGCAGTCATGTGGTGCATACGTGCTGTACATCAGGGACAGATACCACAGCAGTTATGGTGACAGGTGATGTTTATTGATCAACACAGAAGTGCATTCATGACAAAGTCACATGCAAAATACTTAATGTAATTGTTAATGGTTAACAGGGCAGAGCTGGCTTCTCTTGCTCCGTGCCTTCAGGAGGTGTGGGCCAATTGGCACAGGCTCTCCTGGGCACCTGTTCCTTTAAGAGTCCCCCTCCAGGTCCTCAATGCTCCTGCGCCCAAAGTCCATCCAGCCAGGGTAGTCACGGTCATGCAGAGCATCATCCTCATGCCAGTAGTTCTCCTGATTGGCCAGCTCTGTTGGGAGGAAGCAGGGAATAAGATTAATCCCTTTCCAAGGCCAGCTAGGTTTTACTCCCCAGCAAGCAATAAGGAGACTTCATGGAAGAACCAGCAGCCAAAGGCAATGCATCTGCCATGGAGCTAGATTTGACCTCAGGTGCTTCCTCCAGGGAAGGGTCCCAGTTGGCAGGGAACCAGCATTGAGGGCTCTGCAGAGGGGGATCAGTTCCTCCTGACTTGGGCTGACTTCATCTCACCTAACCCCAAGGAGGCAGCCTGCTTCCATTCTGCCTCTGAGACCCTCTCCTCCCCCCACTTTCCTAACACTCACCCAGTTAGATCCAATTCTTTTATTCTACCTCTCCCTGCCCCAAATAGCAGTAAGTCTTGTGTTACCATCCTCTCCACCGCCCAAATCCCCAGAGAGGAGGATGGAGTGACCCTTGGTAGCTATTTAGCATATGGCATCAGGTAACCCTGAGAAAGCATTGGCTGCAATTTCAAGAGGTGGATTCTGGGTGCCACAGTGAATGCATGGGGCCAGCTCACAAGAGCCAAACAGGGATAGTGCCTACCTCTGTAGATGTGAGGCAGGAATTCAGAGATGAACTGCTTCTGGTCCTGAGACAGGGATGCCAACCAGTCTCTCCTGACAAGCTTGGCATGTGCTGGGCTGCTCCTATGGGGCATCCCATTGGTGTCTGGTGCGCTTCCCAGCTGGCGGGCATCAGATGTGGCCCTGGAGAGGCAGACGGTCACCAGGATGGCAAGCAGCAAGCCTGCGTACACCTTCCCCTTCATGGCTGCAAGAGAGCAGGGGAGAGCTGGGAAGAGAAGGACTGGTTATCCCATACCTCCTGCCCATGGCAGGGGACTGGACTTGATGAGCTTACAGGTCCCTTCCGGTCCTTGTTTCTATGATATGGTGCCATACCCCACTCAGGACTGGGCTCCAGGATGGGAGAGAGGGTCCAGCAGCTGCCTGAGTGCCCTGGAACTCAACCAGCCCAGAGTTGGGTTCAGCTGGAGGCTGCCCCAAGAGTAACAGCTATTCTCTTTTCACCAGTGCAGTCAAGTGGTAGGCAGAGCTGAATTCAGGAATGGCTCTTCTTTGTGCTAAAGAGCCCAGGATCTGCTGTGGCAACCGGCAGGGCTTGTCTCCTCTGTGGACTGGCACAGCTGGAGGGCTGTAATGCATGCCCCACTAGAGGGTCACAGGCTTATAGCAAGAGGTGGCCACTGTGCACAGACCAGCTGATGCTGCCCCTCCTCATTTACAGCATAGGGAAAGAAGTGTTTCCCTTACCTGGAATTTGCTCCTCAGCTCACTCTGTGCCCCACCTCCCCAGCCTGGTCCTGCTGCACCCTGCACCCACTTCCCCTCCCCCCAACATGTAATTAAATACTATTATTTGCTGTAGAAATTTAATAATGGGCAAATGGAATAATTCCCCTTTTAACCTCAGTATGTGATTCTGATGCTGCAAAGAGGATTTTCATTGTTTCACTCTCTGCTAGACCTTGGATATCTTAGGTTCTGGTTTGGAATGGGAATCCTTTGCTGTGACCTTTACACATATGACCACATTTTTGCCTGAATGAATGTGTGTGCAGGTGAGAGAAGACAGAGCCAACATAAAGAGGACTGAAGAAAACTGATGGGATATGATTGCTTCCTTTCCAGTGCAAGTTTCCAGTAGGACCTTCTAAATGATCATCTGTGTTATTCATTTCTGCAACTGTCCATCATACATGGGTTGCACATACTATTCTAGTATGATAATTATCTTACGTCTGGCAATGCTGCACTGCTCTGCCACATGAAAGGCTAGCGTGGAGACAGAAGAGGGATCAGGCAGGGTGGCTTGAATTGAGGAAAAGAGGCTTATTAGGCTGATGGGCAGGGAAGAACCCAACAGGGGATATATTTAGTGAGAGTGGCATCACTTGGGCCATTTCAACTTAGACTGGACTAAGGAGCCCAACTCTGATACCTAGAGAATGGGCTGGCAGACACCCTTGCTAGACAGGTCCAGATGCCAAACCTGTGACTGCTTGGTGCTGAGCTGGCCAACCCACCTTTAGAAGATATGGAGGGGTTTAAACTCCATCTTGCTACACAGGGAAGTCAGAGCTCAGCTTAGCTACTCTCTTTGCCCCATCACACCCCTTTTACTCCTTGCTTGGTCCAGCCAGAGACGCAGGGCAATGTACAGGTAAAGAGAAGCCTACTGAGGCACATGTGGCTCAAAGGGGCTGGTATCCTAAAGGGGCCAGAGCTAAAAGAGAAACCACCAGCAAAGAAGCAGACATGCCCAGCTGTCCCCACACTTCACAAGCAAGCACCTCCACCCCATCACTGGCCTCCCATGGCATGCAGCGCTATTCTCACCTGCTGGAGTCCTGCGTCTGCAATCAGCTGAGGGCCTCTGTGTTCAGCTTCTGGGCTGTATTTTCACCTCTGTAGCTGCAGGTGCCAAGACCCCGTATTTTTAAAGGTAGTGCACATGGGTAGGCTCCTCCCCCTGGGAAAAGGCTCTCGCCTATCACTCCATCCTGATCTACCAAGTCACGCCTCCAACATTGTACGCCTTGGCTTGTGCAGCTCATTTGTCCTTTCTGAACATCCCTTCCTCTTGTAGCCTGGTCCTTAGGCGGGGTCGTCATTACTTACAGCAGAATAGACCTTAGAGGCCCTAAGTCCCCTTGAAGACTGCACTGCACTGCAGGTAACCCTGCAAGAGAGTCTTGGAACAGGCAAAACTGACAAAAAGCAGTGGGAGGAAAACTCAGACACAGGGGGACTATTTGATGTCCTCACGATATCGCGGTGTAGACCGCCAGTCTCTATGGGTTGCCAGCGGATGGCGGCCAGCGGTGAACGTGCACCCCGCACCCCCAATCTGAGACACAGGGGGATGCTTAGGCTCTCAGTGTCAGAGAGAAGAGAACCCAGATGTAAAGGTTAGTACAAAGGCTCACTCTGCTGGTACTGAGCCCCATTGTGTCAATGTTAGAGGTAATTAAGTCATCTCTGACAGCACTGAGGGAAAACCAGTGGGCTAAATGACAACCGCTGCCTCAGCAAGAGGCTAAAAGCAGGAGACTGGGATGATAGCAGCCTGATTCCTGAAGCCTTGCTTTAGTTATAAAGCATGCACACGAGCCTTGAAACCTGGCTCACTTGCAGTGACCTCCCGTTGTCATAGGTGAGTTGTAACCCAGAATCTGAAAACTCCCTGCAACTTCAGCTGGATTCTTCTTCCATTTCCCCACTAAAAACTGGCCTGTTTTGCTGTGTGCAGTTAACTTGCCTCAGGCCCTACCCCAAAGGTGGCTATATTTCAGTGCTGCATGCAGAGTCACTTGCAAGCAGGAATCCCACAGGCCACCAATGAAATGCAACCACCTCTGAGGGGGTGAAATACAGAAGCTGGATAGGAACAGGGAGTGATGAAGAGCAATGGTGGGGAGCAAACTGGGTCTGTGCCCTGCAGTGAGAGGGGCCCAGCTGCTGCAGAAAGATGCTATGGACCTCTCAGACCCACAGTTTCTGGGGGCAGCTGATCTCTAATGGGACACAGCCGCCAGGAGAGAAGGAGAAGCCTATGAACAATGATAACAGAAACACAAGGATCCAGGAATGTGGGTTGTAGCAGGGGGAGTGGAGCCAAACCCACTGGTCCCCATCTCTAGATGGCTGAAGCTGATAAAGCTCTGGCCCTAAGGACAAGTGCAGTGATGGTAGCACAGGGACAGGATAAGCTTGGATACAGCTGCACACAGCAGGAGCCTGAGAGCAGGATTGTGGGTGGGCTGCAGGTTGAGATGCCCTCTCAGACCATGGATGAGTGTTTAGTTTGTGAAGATGAAAATAGCAGGCAGCACATGCAACCTTTTCCTCCCTTCCCTCCCCCAGGAAGCCCTTTGATGTTCCTGTACTGCCTGCAACCGCTGCCAGCATTCCCAGGGGCTCTTCATGACATTCCCCAGGCAGAGAGGTGAGGGCATGCTCCCAGAAATAGGGGCAGTTATGCCAGGGCAGAGCAAAATGTGTTCCAGTGCCATGTGACACTTGTGTGGGGGCATGTTTTCCTGCCAAGAACAGGAATAGAAGAGATGTGAGGGCTCAGAGGGAGTGTTTGGCCAGAGGCGGGTGGGGGCTGGAAAAAGCATAACTCCATCTCCATCCCGCATGTTCTCCTGTCTTGGCTGTTCTGTGGCCTGAAGACAACTAATAGGGTTGTGTACCCACAAGGCCCGCTCCCTGCCTTACTTCAGGCCTGAGGGCACTGCCTGGGACAGCGGCAGTGAGTTTCAGTGGTGCCTGAGCTCTGGAAAATGCTCAGTGGGAGGTAGGTGTGGTTCAAGTGTCCACCCACTGATCAAATGAGGTGCACGGAGTTGAACTGGAAAAATTTTGCCACTTCTAGGGCCTTTCCAATATGGCAGTATTTTGTACCTAAATCCATTGTTTGCAGCTGCTGAGATGGGGGTCTGCCCTGTTGCTAAACCCGGGGGGGGGGGCTGGGCTTGGGGCTGGCTGTGACACTAAGCCTTTTTCCCTTGCATCTCATTCTGGGCTTCCTGTCTCTCGCCAGGACAGAGTGGAGCATTGGGGGAAAAAGGTCGCATTGGAGGGAAGAGGTTATCCATGTTTTTCCCCTCATAATGA